TGCTCTTTTCGAAATTCAATTATACTCAACCTATTTTCAATTTACTTGCCACAATTTGATTTTGTGCGTTAAAATATTCATCACCAACATTGGGATCTAGAAGGTGCAGGGGTTGTGATTTCCACCATGACCCGGAGCGTTCCGTAGAAATTTTTGTCAATGGGATAAAAATTTTCAATTTTTTTTTGTGGGGTAAAGGAGGCAATATCTTCCTTGCAAAATTTCTCGTGGGTCTCTGCAGAAAATCATAAATTATTAAGACAATTATAATATTTTATAAATTATAATAAATTTAAATATCTTATTTCTTAAATCCACCGATCTTAACCACAAATACTTTAATTCTCTCCTTTTAACTGCCTTAATTCCTCTTGATTGCTTTTTTTTACTAATCTTTCAGTATTCAAAAATTACATTAAATCTTAATTAATCAAAAATTACATTAAATCTTAATTAATGTGAAATTAAATTACCTTATAAAAAAAAATTTTTCAATACTTATTATTTTATGAAAATAGTGCTTATCAGTCTTACCTCCTAAAAATTAAAAGAAAAATCATTCTAAAATTACGTAGTTTTAATAAATTTTTATTGAAAAAGACTAAATTACCTTATTTTTAAAGTATGCATTAAGGTAATTTTTATTTTTTTTTCTTTTAATTTTTTAGAGGTAAGACAAATAAACACTAATATGTTATTTTATTCATAAAACTTGAACTTAAAACTCTATTTAAGAAAGATCGAGTCCTTTCTATTTAGACTAACAATTTATTGGTCTTGATTGCTTTTTTCGTTTAATGAATTTCTCTTAATTTGAATTTAACTTATTTGATTTTTCTCAGTAAAAGTTATTTTATTTTATTTTATTTTATTCATTTTCTAAAAAAATACTTTAAAATAATTATTTTTTAAATACTTTTAAACTTTTTTTCTAAACTAAAAATTGAATTAATTTACTTTTATATATAATCAAATAAAAAATATTTTTAGATAATTTTATGGATATGGAGAATCTCCGCTTTTATCTACTGCAGGCATAGAGATAAAGAGAAATTTTTAC